CGCTTTACACTAGATTATTACCCCAGCAGACCATAGAACACTCTGAAACATTCTCAGCTTCCCGGGAAGCATGCAGTGCAAGCAGCTGGTTAAGCGCTCAAACACTAACAAACTGACAAGATCTTTCGCTGTCTATAGCTGGGTACCCATTCCCAGCTGGATGAAGTGGGGAAAATTCGTGTATTTTTACAATGAACTATTAAAGTGTATATATGAGACAGCGTGGTGGAATCAGGCTCTCGTCAAAATACTCAGAGTGAAGAAACTTGCATTTTTCCGCAGTTTTATTAATTTTTATTAATTTTTTGTTTTTTGACTCAACACCTTTCATGCCTATTAAAGAACTGATCTCTGTGGAAATTTTTCTGAAAAACGTTGATTAAAGGCACTAAAAATTTAAATTTTCAGTTACCACGACTCTTAAGCTAAGGAAATAAATAATCTTTGGCGGCCATTTTCTCACTAATTTTACCTCTGAAAACAGGTGACCTCCTCCTCCTTCTTTCGCAAATATCTCGACTTGTATTCAAGATAAATGGGTTTTTTTACCCACCTAAATAAAGACAATTGAACAAGCTTTAAGATGATACCAAAAACTCTACCTGACCAAAAATTGCCGAGAGCCTGATTCCACCACGCTGCCTCACATATACGCTGGGTCATGTTGATTAAGTAACGGGTAACTGAGTCGGTGGGCGTGTCTGATAGGCTATTAGACAGCTTTGTTGAGTTTATGCGTAACCCGATGAAAACACGCAGAGCAAACGTAAAGGGACATAACAATGGATAAAAACATTAGAACAAGAATAACACGGTTATTTCCCCTTAAGATATTATTTTGGAATAGAATTGAAAACATTAACATTTAAGATAGAAAGATAGATAGATAAATAGATAGATAGATAGATAGATAGATAGATAGATAGATAGATAGATAGATAGATAGATAGATAGATAGATAGATAGATAGATAGATAAATAAATAGATAGATAGATAGATAGATAGATAAATAGATAGATAGATAGATAGATAGATAGATAGATAGATAGATAGATAGATAGATAGATAGATAGATAGATAGATAGATAGATAGATAGATAAAGTTAATGAGTGTGTGAGTGAATGAGTGAGTTGGTGAGTAGGTGAGAAAGAAGAGAGAGTAGAGAAGATTTATAAACATATTGTAGTATGGCAGAGCGAGAGAGAGAGAGAGAGAGAGAGAGAGAGAGAGGGGGGGGGGGGGAGAGGGAGGAGAAATGAGGGATGGATAGAGGGGAAACATGTATTCAAGAAGTGTAACGAAAAAGATTTTGTTTTCTTTTTTTGTGGTAAGTTTTTTTACCCGCTCGCAACTGCATAAGGTCATATGAGAGCGCGAGACACACCAAACATTTTGAATGGGAAGGATATCTTGAATTTTGCCCGGGTGGCGGCCGAAGACTACACTTATCGATTGTGGACCTCCAAAGGATCTTTAATGTGCGCAACTTGCACACGGGAACTCCGAGATTTTTCGCCCTTGTCCAAAGAAGGCTACGTGTAGATCTTTTCCTACCAGAGGATCAGGTGTGGGCCTGAAAGACAGCTGTAAGAAGGAGCCAAGGAGTAGCAGTAGAAAGGCTGCAGAAAGAGTCAGGAGCCCAGAGGAGGGGGAAAAAACGAGGTTATAACTTCTGCTCATAAAAAGGTAGATCTATAGTGCCGTTAATAATTCTTTGTGAAACTTATCCTCAATTATCTTTTTAACGGGTGCATCAACGCCATCCATACTTTGCATAGCAGTTTGTCTCAATTTGTCTTAACTCAATCATATTTTTCAACAACAGTTGAGACTAGATTAAAAAACTTTTCTTCATAATTTGATTTATATAAAATACAACAAATCCCCGTCACGCGGAAAATGGAATTGTTCGCACCACGTCCTGCTTCTCACACACATTTTGTATACGCATATGGGTTACGTCACAGCTCACCAATGATACTTCTTGGAGGCAAAGCTAGTTACATGAAACTAACTTTTACAGTGAACTCATTTTTTTTGCACAAAATTTCTCAAAACATGCGTTCTCTAAAGATACCGATAAGAAAAACAATTACCGACTTGTTTTTAAAAGCAATATCGTCCAAGCAGTAAACCATTTAAAATCAGTAGGAATCACCCACTAGGAATTTTTATTAGCATTTATTTAAGGAATTTTCTAGAATAGAGTTAACAGGTCTTTACAAAAATATTGGTCTATTAAGACAAATTGATACAAGTCGCTGTTGAAAAGCTGGAGAGTTTATGTTCGATAGTTGGTCAGCTAGAGGGTCGGGGAGAGACAGCAACCTGCGTGGAAAAGCCAAAAGATTATCCAACCAGCTGTTAACTGGCACGATCAGCAGGCAGACCCCTTCATGGGTCCTGGAGAGGAGGGAGGAGCAGCTATGGCATTGTGCCGCCTGCAATTATGCCTATTCTCCCACCAAGGAAGTAAGTAAGTAAGGAGATATTTGACAATAAAATGCGCCACGATTTTTTGACAACACTATAGACTATTAATGAAGAAGTCCTGGTTGAAGCAAATTATAGGAAACAACTTATCACGAATATAAGAAAACGACAGGCAAATTTTTTCGGACACACAATGCGGAAAGAAGCATTAGAGAACATTGTAACAACAGGAAAGTTTGATGGAAAGAGAGGCAGAGGCAAACAGAGGGAAAAGATACTGGACAAGATGACAACATGGCTGGGAGCAGCAAGAACAACAGACACCATTGCTGCATCGAAAGACAGATGGAAGTGGAGGTCCATGATCGCCCACGCCAGTCGGCAAGGCACCGGATGATGATGATAGACTATTACAATTGACTTATCATCATTCTTTTATATTTCACGCATGTCTCAATATCGCACAGCGTCAATCAGAAATGAACGGAAGTGAATGAAGTATTCTAGGGTTAGGGTTGGATGGGACTGGTTGAACTCTTCCTGTTTACAAGAACTCGGCATACACTTTTCAATTCTTTTTCTGCTACTCTTGGACCATATGTGAGGCATCGTGGTGAAATCAGGCGTTCGTCAAAAAAATGAAATCGAAAAAAACTGGCATTTTTCTGTCGTTTGACATGGTCGACAATTTTTATCGAATTAATATCCGGTTTGTGACTCGGCACCTTTAAGATCCATTTAAAAGCACATTTCACATTTCTGTTTGGATTTTACCCAAAAAATTATTTTAAAGAATACAAATTTTAATTTTCAGTTTGTAAAGTACTTTCAAGCTTAGGAAGTCACCCAAATTTAGCGGCCGTTCTCTCGCTAATTTTACTTCAGAAACCAGGCTACTCCCACGTCCTTCACTCGCAAATATCTCGACAGCTATTCGGGGTAGATGAGTACTCTTTTTTTCTGAAAGCAAAGCAAATGTACAAACTGTAATAAGATGATACCAATTACTCCTCATGTCCAATAATTGACGAGCAACTGATTCCACCGTGTCTTGACACATATCGCGGCTCTTGGGTAGGGGAATGTCGTTTCATGATCTTTCTTAGCTGGTGGCAAAAGGATGTTCAGTGAAGAAATCGTCCCTCGACAATAAAGACCCTCCTCTGGTCTACATTACTCGTCGTTCACTTCGGAATGGGCAGATTGTAAGATTTACACAAGTTACATAATAATAATAATAATAATAATAATAATAATAATAATAATAATAATAATAATAATAATAATAATAATAATAATAATAATAATAATAATAAATAGCATTTATACTGCACATTTCCATTTACTAAAAGATGCTCAATGCGCATTACAATGAAAAAGATATCACATCTTAAAAATTAATCGACAAGTGTGTACGTAAAACAAAGTATTATACATATAATATAAATGCATATGTGTAAAATTTTATACGAGAAAAACATGTTTGTTTTAGTAGAGGTTTTACGGCGCTTGCAACTGCATAAGGTCACATGAGCGCCAGAAGATTAGAGGTGTTACAAGAGAGTAACAAACATAAAAAAAGAAGGAGGGGAGATAAAGGACGATAGATGTTTGATAGGAAAGAAGAAGCAAATCACACCAGAGCACCCGCCAACTTCCCGCTATAAGTTACAGAGAGAAACGTCAGTTGTTGTTAGTTTTTATTGCGCTCAGCCTTAAAACTCGTTATATGCAATCTACTACTACTATTATTATTATTATTATTATTATTATTATTATTATTATTATTAATATTATTATTATTATTATTATTATTATTATTATTATTATTATTATAACTATTATTTTTATTATTATTTTTATTATTACCATTATTATTATTATTGTCCTTATCTTTTTTTTTTTTTTTTTTTTTTTTTTAATTATTATTATTATTATTATTATTATTATTGTTATTATTATTATTATTATTACTGTTATTATTATTATTACTGTTAAAGTTATTATTATTATTATTATTATTATTATTATTATTATTATTATTATTATTATTATTATTATTATCATTATCATTATTTGTACTGTTTTTATTTCCTTTCACTCTTTTAAAATCCCTCTATTATTTATTTGCTTATTTATTTTCAAGTTTTCTCATTTTATATCTTTTTAAAAATTTGTTTAATTGTTATTATTAAATATTATATTTATTCATCTGTGATTTTTTTCCCTGTCTTTTTCCACACACGCACACACACACACACACACACACATACACACACACACACACACACACACACACACACACACACACACACACACACACATTCTGTTGCAACTGCCGTAAAACTCTCACTCACTCAAACACGTCTCGAATTTTTTCCCTCCCCTTGACGCGCAGGTTCATGTACGCCGGGTACCTCCCTGTGGACTTCTTCCCGGGGACCAGGTCAGGCGGCGAAGGCGGGAGCTCTAAAACGGCCCCCGGACACACCCTGAAACCCTCGCCTCTAACAACGATGGCGGTTGCAGCAAGCACAATGATTTTCATCGTCATCGTTATCGGTGTTCTTTGTCTGCACGAGGCGCTACGATGTATGAGAAGTAGAAATCTTTCCACGTCTCAGACGGCGTCAGAAGATGTGGAAGATGCGAAAGAACAGGAGGGAAAAGCGCAAAAAGAAGGAGAAAATTATGTAAGGGAAGGTGCAACGATGTCTTCGGGTTATCCGGAGGTAGAGAGCTGTCGTTTTGTCGCTTCGCCTGCTTTGGCGAAACGGCTTCCGGGTCACAAAGGTCAAGGTGACAAGGTCAGTTTGGAGCGTGACGACGAAGTGGGGGTCACGACTGAGATGAGTCAGAAGGAAGACAGGTAGGTGAATGATGCTATACATTGCATGTTTGCATATTATGCGCACAAAGACACACTCCCCCCCCCCTTACA